ACTTCATCAAACAGAGAGATCTTATGGAAAATTCTATGTAACTAAAAAATGAACTGAATATTTAAAACACAATTAAAAGATGGGTTATTGAAGATTACAATGGCAAATCTTTTTATAAAATGAAAAAGTGCCTATTACTTTTTCTTTTTATGAATTTAGATATCTATTTATATAATAGTTTTTCTTAATGGTCAAATCTATATAGGACCTCATAACATTTCTATGAGGTATGTGATGTCACTAAAAAACTAAGTAGAGATAACAAATCAAATTAGTGACAAAATTGAGAATAAAACCCTTTCTCTTTTGGTGTCTATCAAGATGGTAGATGCTTAACTATAGCTTCTCTCTCCTACTGATTGTGGACAGAATACAAAGAGTGACTACTTGAGAACTCTGAAAATAAACAATAGCAGGCAGATTGGAAACGGAAGTCAGAACTTGAATAACAGTCCTTAATGGGGCTAGTTCCAGTTGCGGAACTGCACTATGATGATGGTGGTATGAGCACTAAAACCTAGAGAGAAGACATATCTTTCTGGCTAGTGGAACCAGGAAAAGGAGCCTCTAATGTCTAAAGAACTCGGATGGGAGAAAGCTCTGTTATTTTTTTCTTGATTTTTTCATTTATTTTGCATCTTTGCCCTGAAGGTGGTCCTACGGTATAGAATTGCATAATAGAACAGAGGGTTAATACTCCACAAGAAATATCTTCTGGCTAGAGGAACTGGAAATAGGAGCCCTGGGAACTGGAGAGTGTGGGGAAATTTCTGGAGGGGAGAGAGCTGGAGAAGGTGGATCCCCTAAGTCTGCCAATGAACTAATATAAGCCCCAGGCTCACTCTTGAGCTATGCACGTGTGAACAGACTCAAGTATATGAAAGACTTTTAAAAACATAAGTAAAATATACTCCATTGTCCAAGTCTAGCAAAGGCTGAACCACCACCCACAGAAAGTGAGGCAGAAGTTACAGTCAGAATCCAATCAGTCTGATTGCTAAAACTAACTTAACTAACTAACTAACTAACTAACTAACATTCTCCAGAGGACTTTAACAGAGTCCAGAGTCTTACAGTATAATATTCAAAATGTCCAGAATACAATCCAAAATTACTCAACATAGAGAGAACGAGGAAAATCTGACCACTTCTCACAGGAAAAGAAAATCAACAGATGTCAATCCCAAGGTGAGCTGGATATTGAAATTGTTGGAAAAATAGTTTTCAGCAGCTATTATAACCACACTCCATGTCACTAAGGTCAAGATTTTTGAAATAAATGCAAAGATAAAAGTTCTTAGCAAAGAAATAGAACCATAAACAACAGCCAAATAGAAATTTTAGAGCTGAAAGAATACTTTATCCAAAATTTAAAAATTCACTGGCTAGGCTCAAAGGCACAATGGAGATGAAAGAGGAAAAAGTCAGTGAACTTGAAGATAGATCAATAGAAACAACCTGAAGAACAGGTAAAAAATGATTTCAAAAAGTGAACCTCAGGGACCTGTGAAACATTATCAAAAGATGTAAAATTCATGTCACACAAGTCTTAGGAGGAGAGGAGAATGAGATTGGTACAGAAAAAAATATTTGAAAAACTAATAGCTGAAAATATCCTAAATTTGATTAGAGACATAAATTTATAGATTCAAGAAGCTCTTTGAACCCAAAAGGATACACTTAAAAAAAACCACACCCAGACACATAATAATCAAAATTGCTAAAATCTTCAAAGAAAAATATCTTCTAAGCATCCAGAGAAAAATCATATATTATACATAAGGGAACAGCAATTCAAATGACAGTGGATTTCTCCACAGGAACCATGAATCCAGAAAACAATACAATAACATTTTTGTAAAAGTGCTGCAAGAAAAGAACTGTCAATCCAGAATTCTATATTTAGTGAAAATATCCTTCAAGAATGCAGGTAAGATAAAGACATTTCCACATGTAGGAAAGCTATTAGAAGGTTTTGCCAGCAGTCTTGCTCTAAGAACTAGAACTCTCAACCAATAGCAACACAACAACAGTGATCAACACTCAAATAAGACTTCTTATGAATCAGTTGTTCTAAGCACATTACATGGACTAACTCACTTAATCCAAGAAGGTTGGTACTATTACCATCCTTCTACAGATGAGAAAACAAACAAAAAAGGATGTTAAGCAGCTAGTTAAGTAGTAGAGCCAGAACTCAAGCAATCTGCCTTCAGAGATGATGCTCTTAATCATTACTTGATACTATCTTCTCACTTACTTGTACAAAAAACCTGGAGGATATCAAGTTAACCAATTAGATGAAAACCATTTTAAATAGATTTAATGATTTTAAAAATTATTTTTATTTAATACTGCTCTCTAGAGATAAAAATAGGGAGGTAAGGCACCAACTTGATGCATTACTTTACCTTGAAAAATATTATATTAGAACTAGGATGTAACATTGATTTATCAACAGTAACCATAATGAAAAACATTTTTTGAGTACTTATTATGTGTCAGAAGTTGTTTTAGGGGCTGAGGATGTAAAAATGAATGAGATAAAGCTCCCATTCTTAAGGATTTTATACAAATTAGGTAATACGGACAAGTAAGTAAATAATTACACTATAGTATGTGCTATAACAGAAGCACATACAAAACCCAAAGTACATACGAGGTAAAAATGCTGTTGAACTGAAGCATCAATCTAATCATGGCTTTGAAAAGCACAAAAAATGAACATTCAGGGAAATATTCCACAATCCCCTCTTCCATAACTCATGTAGACTACCATCTCTGTTACAAATTTGTAAATAAACTCTTGGTTAAATTAGTAATGAATACAAAGAAAAGCCAGAAGAATCTGTTACCATGCTGTGTATATGTTTTAATTTTCAAAGCCTTCAGCATAAAGATGATAGACTTATTCCAAAGTATTTAGAATCAGCTCCTGCTGGTTAATTTTCCACTCACAGAGCAGCCCAGTGCACAGTAATTATGTGGATTCAGAAGCCAGAGGAGGAATTAATCCAGAAAACATCTTACAATAAGACAAAAAGTGATATTTCCATACTGGATCAAGAAAGTTATATTCAATCTAAAGAGTTATCTTAACAGTTGCAAAGAATAAGTTCTTCAGGTAAACTGTGGGATCCTTAAGGTAAGGACCATGCCTTATTTTTCTTTCTATCCTTAGTATCCCTAATAGTTAATATGCACCTGGCAAATAGAGTATTATTTTGTTTGTTGAATTAGATTTTTACTATAAAAGAATTAACAAGAGATGAAGTTTAATTCTTTCTTGACTATATAACTTGTATGCCAAGAAAGAGTTCTTTTATGTTCAAAAGCCACTACTTAATTCCACAAAGAAAAGAGTCAGTTGTGACCCTTGACATCATATAGGTATGATAAGGAAGGTAACATAAGTAAGGGTTAAAAAAAGAACAGGTCCGGCAATGTAGTGGTTAAGTTTGCACGATCCGCTTCGGTGGCCCGGGGTTCGCTGGGCACAGACCTACACACAAGACCTACAAGCCATGCTGTGGCAGTGTGCCGCATACCAGGAAGATTGGCACAGATGTAAGCTCAGGGCCAATCTTCCTCAAGCAAAAAGAGGAAGATTGGCAACAGATGTTAGCTCAGGGACAATCTTTCTCACACACACAAAAACGAACAGCATAAAAGATTCAATGTGAGTTCCTTCAAGACCAGCATGGGCTTTTAATTTAAAATCTCTATCGTGCTACTTTAATTTTCTTTTTGCTCTTACTAAGATTAAATATTATAATAGAGTACATGTGGCAGCAAAGAGAATATAGTAACTAATGATCCATTCACATTTCCCTGTAGCTGTGCTTCAAGTGGCTGCCATTAATGGGATATAAACAGTCTAAGTAACAGACAGGGCACTCTGACTCATATTCCATGCATTAAATGGATATATTTAGTTTTGTATTCATATTGCACACACGATCAATAAATGGCTATAAATAATGATTGTGAAACCCTGCAATTATAAAGTTGCTGTGTATTTTTAGAGTGCTCTGAGATCAACTGTCTAGTAATGAATGGTCATTCTCACTAAGTTGATACTTCTGTCTTTAACTTAAATGATGTATGCCGTCCTCGTTAAAGGGGATTTTAATCTAAGAGTTGCTAAAATAATAACAAATAAATAACTAAACCATCAGATTGAAGATGGATGTCAACATCTCTGTCAACAACGGCATAGTTTTAAATATGCTAATTTAATATACTAATAATATATTA